CAGTTTCGACCTCGCATCGGTCTTATCAACACCCTCAGCGGGAGTCGAACCGCGACAGTGCAGGACGGTGTCTTGACACGCTAACCACTTGGCTACACTGCCATGAGCGCCTTTTGGGTCACAAGGCAGTCCCCCTGGATGAGAACAACTTTTGGGAAAAGCAAAGCTATGTAAAATTCAATGGAAACGTCAGCTAAACTCAAATCATTTGTGGGAAAATTCTACTTCTACCAAACCTTAATCACCTTAAAAACGAAATTTGGTGAATACATCTTATAACTGATTTACTAGTAGTCACGAAAAATAATACTTTATTCGAAAGATATAGAGTGGTTTGGCCAATTATCTTTCATATTGGTCCTGCTACTTTTACTCGAGTGTGTGCGTGTGTGTATGATAACGTCTATGACGGTTATCAAAAGGCTAATGTCAAACTCTGATCATCAAGGCCTAATGACCCAAGAGAAAGCGCAGACCAAGATTGCGTAGATCCATTGGCGAGTATGATTGAGATAATGAGGTATGAGCTTGTAAGCATGTAAGTCAAGTTACGAAACCACTTGTCATAATCACTCAGTCTAGGGTCATTAACGTTAAACTCTGCAAGGAAAGGCATGACTGGGGCGCGTAATCTGGCACGTTTGGTTTGGTTGATGAACTTAATCTAACATGTTGGACGAGTGTAAATGAAGTTGGAACCATCACCGAGCAAACGATTTGAATCACTTCTTTGGATGGCGGCTCGACATCCTCTCTCACTTCTTCACTTTATCAATCAAGCATAAGTAGTTCCTACTCAACTTTCTACCACCGTTCTTCACATTCAAAGTATTTCCCAAACTGTTAATTACAATAGCCTCTCTCATCTTTCTTTTAAACGCAGACGCACCATAATCAGCAAACCTACTAGTTTGAGACCATTATGTTTCATGTCCATTTGCTACCATGTGTTCGGCCACTTCGGACCGTTGAATCCAGTTTTCTCTACAAGCATTTTTGTGTTCCCTTAATCTTTGTCGAATAGGTCAGCATGTCTTACCAACATAACATCGACCACATGAGCAAACAATCTTGTGGCAACTGGGTCTTAATAATGACTCATATTTCTTTCTAAAAGATGGCATAACAGAAGAAAGTGTGAGGGTCGCTTTAAACATAGTTTTTATCCTCCACTTTCTATTAATTCGCCTATCTTTTTGAGAGAAGGTATGACGGCACAATTAGGACATGGAAAAAGATCTCAGTCTGTCTATCTTTGACTAAATGGTCTCCGTCTGACAATTTATTACTCAGTAGAGAGATATTATTCTCAATAAAGCCCAAAGGATAATTATTTTCCAGGAATAAATTTGTCAGCTGTTCCAACTCTTTCTCTTGGATCATTAATCATTGCTCAGAGCCTGAGACTAGCTATTTGATAACTCTGATTTAGGACGGGTATTGCGTATACATGCTAACATAAACATGCACACAATCAAGCAAAAGAAGTAGGACCAGTATGAAAGATAATTATCTAAATCACTCCTTTTGGCTTAATTGAGTCTATATAAGAGGTAAGATAGAGCCAGATAGTCTTCTTGCTCTAGTATTAACGTGATACATTTGCAGGAATGACACCAGGCAAAAGCTCTGCCTGTTTTCACCCGAAACTACGGAGGAGGTCTCGTAGACTGCGTCTACCTGAACGTCGTATAAAAGCCAAATGACTGCAGTTCGACGGGGTTTGTTCGTTCTCTTGTCGTGAGATCGACCAACGAATCTCTTCCTCATACACTATCAATCGAATTCAAAGTCCCCCCAACCTTATTTATAGCCAAACAAGATACATTAAAGTCCTTGCACATGTTCATAAAACTCGCCGTTAAATATGAAGTATAGGCTACTGATGGATAGATAACTAGTCCTAAAAATAAATTTTTCACCTCAATAATATTCTTGTATTTTTATAGGATGAGTGCGGGAGCTTGAATAGCTAGCTCCCTGAACTGAAATACTAGTTAAAAATTCATCATAAGTTTATCTTCCGTAGCGTTTTATCCTTCAATAAATTTAGCAAATTGATACATTATTGTGGAGTTTCTTCGAAATCCGCATTACCTGTGTTTTTTCAAACTAATACAGCCAATTTTGTTAGATTTCGGTATAATAATAGTAAGAGCATCTTCATGCTGCTTCCTTTCGTATTAGTATTCAATCCCAAAGTAGCTTCCTCCTTGCGAGCCAATAGCGATGGGTGTCAGGACGTCTCACATCGCAACGTCAAGTATTTTGTAATATGGCTGATAGAATGCTGCCCGCCATATACAAAGAAGCCGTCTGGATTGCTCAGCAAATTGCTCTGTGCTGGTTTAGGACCTCATAATGCTTTACATGATAAAGTCAGTGAAAACGCTGAATGAGTGGGATGCGCCACTATCTGGGCGCACAATAAGGGGAGTAAAAAAGGGTTAGTGATTTCTTACTGAATTCGCAGTTCATTCAACTTTGCTATCCCAGTGTCTGTGGCGGCCAGATTCCTTTCGCGCACGTATTTTTGTAATACAGCAAACTGTCCCACCAACGCTTCGCTCTCTGCCTGCTCAAGCCCCATGCAGATGGTATCAATCAATCTATACTGCGAGTTCTCGTAGTTCCAATATTTTCCACAGAGTTTCATAGCGCGCTCGCGAATGGACTCAAAGTATAATGCTCGATCTGGGTCCTCCACTTGATGATCTAAACGAATCAGAGGGAAGGAGGTAATTACACTTATTTGCAAGAGCTACGCTGTATGATGTATGTTTTTTTGATAGGAAAAGATAACGGCAAGGCAATAAATAACCACATACCAGGTAAAGCCTTCGGACTTAATTTAGATTTCAAATAGGTTAAAATCTCGTACAAAATCTCGAAGAAGCTCAGAGGATTGGATAAATAATTTCGAAGGCTGTATTCGCGGTAGAGAGATAACAATCCAAATTTCCATATTTGAATTGAGTTTTGCTCAACTTCTGTAAATACATTACTGAAAAAAACAAAAGAGAATAAAGTGATGCTAGCGATTTGGAAATCTAAATCTGTAAACATATGGAAAGTGAATTTCAATACTTCAAAGAAGGTGATCACACAAAAGACCACACCATCTTGATCTTCATACCGTTCTAAATAGTCGTTTCCAAAATTTCACGTGAATCTATTCAAAATAGGCTCATTTATAACAACAAACTCTTTGGTGTGTCATGTATGATGTAAAAAATGCACCAAGGCATTTCTAAACAAAACAGAAATGGTCGAATGTGATCATGGTCCCAGAGGATGAAGGTTTTACTGATTAGTCTGGTAAAAATGCTTTAGTTTTATGGGAAACAACCATAAAATTAGTCTCAGGTGCATAAATATTTTGTTGCCAGTTAGAGGAAACAGGGTTAGCAGTTTTACAATATGAGAAAGATTCATAAGGCGATAACTATACCACAGCTGTTTAGCAGACAATTAGTCGTAGGATCGACTTCACTTGTCTCTGATGAATTGTAATGTCGTGCTAACAATGGCAAGGCTCACTGAAGATGCCGAAGTAACGTTTGAAAATGTACCAAGTCCACAGTCCGACTTTGGAAATTGTTAAGCATACTATTAACTATGGACAGGGTGTGTTTCTCTAGGCCTTCCTGCTAATATGAACAAGTTGCGAAAACGAGGTCAGACAATTTCTATACTACGAAAAAAGACCATGACCATGCTAAAGGCCACGCCATCTTGGTCTTCATATCTTCGATAATTATGGGTTTTATTTGCACACAACTTTGATTAAAATAAAGCTACCCTTTCACATGTGGTCGAATCTTAGCAGGAGGACGCATTTAAATCTCCAAATTTTTCATCACTTGTGATTAATTAATGTGAAATATCTTTTTACAATTCACCTCTGTGTGCTTGAAATATAGCATTTTCGGAGTTATTTCACTCTAGTCAGTTTTTATCATCCGTCAACTAGGCAACTGAACTTTTCACCACGTCAATGTAGAGAAACAACAGAAAGTTTGTTCTTTAAATGCCTTGGTAATTGCTTAACGGCAACTGGAGCATAGGACTCGAAACAGATCCTACAGTCATGCTTCTGAAGCAAAGTTTAAGGCTATTTTTGATCCGAAACTGCTGTTTCATACATATTTCGAGTTGCTGAATTCATCTTGTTCACATTCAAAAATCGATTCCGAACGGCTTGATGACTATGCGATGTATACGAATAAAACAAAAAACACAAACGGCAGGTGGCAAATGTTCTGAATAAAGTCGTAAAAATGTGCCTTTAGGAATGCATAGATGCTGAATCTGACAATTAAATTTCATTAAACCATAGCTTTGGAGTCATTGTATGCAAATAAAGATGCAACTTTGTGGTAACCTTACTCGAAAGTACCGCGGCAACCGTGATCAAATAAGCAAAAACACACAAATGTAGATACACAAATATGCATAAAAATGAGCTCGTAAAATCTTTATATTCCTTGAAAAATTCTATTTCGGTGCATAAATGTATAGGCTGAAAATGAGTTTTCAAGTTTGCTTGATTAACTATAGGCCTTAAATTGTTACAAATACGCTTTCGAGCTCTGAGGATAGCTTCAACAAGACCGGCAGAAGCTCATCTTCGTATCAGAACCTAAGGAAGGTGAT